TATTTTGTGCATCATTACACTGCCAGGATGACCCAAACGATCATGCCACAAAATGAATGTTTTCTGGTCATCTAATTTTTTATTAGAGACAACATTCACTTCAACGGGACTAATGTGAGTATAATATAGCCCCGAGGAATACGCTGGCATCTTTTCACAAAGAATTTTATTGCCAGATTTGGTTGTCGTTAGACACAAGTATTCCTTTTTATTTTCTGTCATGGTTTCAATGTGATAACCATTTTGACGCATATCCTTAAAGCTCAATAAATTCCTTCGGGATTTGCTGGAATATAATGCGTCTTTGATAATTAATTTTGTTCCTTGGGGAAGGATTAAACAAGCAATTCCAGACCCTTCAATGAGCTTTGCAACACCAGATATTGTATTGACATTAGTTTCCATCAATGTCATTTGAGAAAAATATTCTTTGTTTCTCAAAATGGTGTGCGTTGTGGCACTGTCAATTAGACATTGTTCTTTGCCACTGGAGCCATAAGCAGTTATCTCCATATCTTGAATATAAATAAATATATAAATAAATATAAGTTCAAGATATTTAACACAAATATCATACATTTTATTATAATTTTTTAGAACAGACATAATAATACAAGTACACATGAAAATTAAAGTACAGATTTTAAACATTTATTTTAAAAGTAAACACACCATAACAGCGTAAATTAAAATATTTAAACAGTAGTAGTTCCACCAAAGGCCACCTCATCACCAATTTCAGCATCATCCATGTTGAAATCGGACACATCAAATTTAGGCAAAATTGGGTTGATATCATCAGCATAATTAGCCTCCACATTTTTTCCTTTTCCTTTTGTGGAAGCTTGGTATAATTTTACCAAGTGTTTTTCCGTTCGACATTCATTAGCCCAATGTCCTTTTATGCCACATTTATAGCATTCACCACTTGGTTTTGGCTTTTCATGAGTTTTAGCCTGTGGTGGTTTGAATTTTCCTTTTCCTTTGGAGGATGATCCATTTGGATATTTATAGCCCCTATTCGGTCCTTTGTTGCGGTTATTTCCGCGGCCACGTTTAAAGTGTCCACGTGCACCACCTTGGATAATATTTGATTCCGGTGCTGAAGGATGACCAAAATTTGTAGGGGTACAACCGGTAGGCCTCATGTTATGATTTTTCATCAACAGCTCATTATTCTGCTCAGCAACAAGTAATACTTAGATTAACTAAGAATACTTTTTAAAGTCCCTTTCTCTGTATTGTTGCTGTAATATCACATTTGACATATGCATGGTGGAAAAAGTTTTCTCCAACATGTCATGATCGGTGATATTATGTCCACATAATTTTAATGTGGACGTGACTTTAAAAATAACAGAATTATAGTCACAAACGGATTTAAAATTCTAGAATCTTAAATTGATCCATTCATACTAAGCTCTCGGCAGTAAGACCTTTTGTTGATGACCATATCTCTCTTGGAGATTATCCCATAATTCCTTCGGATCTTCCACCAATAAATATTCAGATTTCAAACTTTCGTGAAGATGGTGGCGAAGGAAAATTATGGCAATTGTATTTTCTAGGCCATTAGCCTTGAGGTGAGCAAGTGCATCAACCCTCCATTCGAGGTACCTTTGACCGGATAAATCAAGAATGTCGAATTCTCTTTTGGTGATGTTGGCCATTTGAAACTACAAAGTAATAAATTTTAATTTATGAAATATTTTTTTATAGGTTATAGATTGGTGAGTACGAAAAAAAAACATTCTCAATCAAGAGTATTCAAATTTAAAAGAACAAGTACAGTGTATATTTATTTGTGTATGAAATTGTGAATTGATAATTTTAAATGATACCCCACTTATTTAAATTTTCTATCAAAAATTATTCAAAGCCAAATAGAAGAAGACAAATCAAGGAATAAGATGTTTTATTGCATTATTATTATTATTATTATTATTATTATTATTATTATTATTATATAATACTTCGTATATAAAAAAAATAATATGTAAGGAAAAAAATGTATGGGGTAAAATACTTGCAAGTACATAAGGAATCAAAATGGACAATGGAAGAAGACAAAACATGTTCCATAGTGCTATAATTCATCAATTCTTACTCCGTATAAGATATACTCAGTATTATTATTATCAAGCAAAGGTGGTTTTTGAGAGCATCTCTTTCTTTTACTATGGCACGCCGGAGAAAAAAAAATAAAGATAGGAAATTTTTTTTTCTCTGAAGAAGCATACATACAGAGTATTGTTTCTACAGGTAAGATGTTCATATTTCTTATCTAAATTATTATTATACTTTTTACATCTAAGCTTGCAGAATTCAAAAGTAGTTTAAAAAAATGAAATTAATTTTGTTTTTCAATTTTAGCTACTCCATATTATGTTCTATTCTTTATTCTAATTTATCAAAAATATGATTCTCTAGAATTATGAGGAAACTTATTTCTTTTAATTTATCTAATTTTATTTTTATAACTATAAGTTTCTGATGTGAAGGATCCCAACTTTGGGCAATCACAGAGCATACTTCTCATAGTTTTTAAGAAAATATTTTAATTTGTTCATGAAGAAAATAAAATAAATATACCTTATGAGAAGAACAAGGATTCTGAGATTTTTGAGCAAACTCGTGCTGATAACGTGTTATTTAATGAGAGAAAAACTACTCAGAGATTATGAGAATAGATATAATATATTTCTGATTTCTTCTCTCTATTAATTATTCACTCTTCTTCTTATTCTTAATTGTAATTTACAGGGATCCTAAGCCTCTTATTTATAGTAGAGAGCCTTAGTGCTAACACTATTACAAATAGTATACATACTATACAAATGACAACTTGATGGTGATGAATGATGATGGACAATTTGTTCCTTCAACTTATGATGGAGCATGGCCTATTTAATTGATAAACAATTCATATTTTTCTTAAACAATGTCAACATTTCTACTCGTAGCATTTTTTGAAAAAAACAAACTAACCAACACCCTTTTGTCAACTAAATAGTCAAAACTCCATTAATATGTACGAGTTTCGCTTATCAGCTTGGAATCTAGGGTTTCTCTGCTTCTTGAAACCTTCTTCGTTTCTCGCTCTGTTTGCATGATATTACTGCTATTCCTTGTATCCTAAGTATTCCATTTGACCCTAAAGTGCCAGCAGCTCCTTAACGTCTAGATTTCTTGATTATTGATTTCAGTTTTTTCGCTTCACACAGATTTCTTCTTCTTCTAGGAGTTAATGGACCAAATTGAGATTCATGTAGAAGATTCCGATGAAATTGATGATTCCTGCAAGAATGCTTCAAGAATTTCAGGTAAGGCTGGGGAATTAAAGAGCTTGAAGGAAGATGTTTTCCAAAAGGCCAAGGATTTGGACTTGATTATTGATGTGTCCGGGAAAAGTTTCGACTTTCCTGTGCTGGAATGCTCTATAGACGAAATGGAGGGTCTGTATATGTACAAGAATACATTCAATTTGATTTCGAGTGCAAATGGAGGCCTAGAGAGGCTGAAGACGCTCAAATTCTTTGCCAATGATGTGAATTTGTTCCCGCCTGGGGAGTTAAAGAACTTGGTTGAGCTTGAGTGCTTGCAAGTGAAGGTGGCGATTCCAGGTTTAAGTGGGCTGGATCTCCAGGAGCTGAAGGGCTTGAAAGAACTTGAGCTATGTAAAGTACCCTCAAAGCCTTCAGCTTTTCCAATTTTTAGGGACATCACTGGCCTTAAACGGCTAACAAAGCTCTCTGTTTGCCATTTTTCCATTAGGTATGTGTTCTTTTTTCATTGGGTTTTTGTGAAGTGATTCAGAAATAATTGAAATTGATAGAAGTAGAACTTTATATTATCATTAGAACTAACTTATTCTACCTGAAGAATTGAAATAGTGATAGGGTGGTAGCATTGGGTTTTTATATAAATAATACGGAGTACTCCATAATAATACTCTCATATTGAGATCCTCTCTATTAAGTGGGTAAGAGATATAATCCAGTTTCTTGGAAACTTGTTTTAGGTACTAGAACCTTTTTTTATTTGATAGAGGTGAACTAGTTCAGTAGAGTGTAGACATTAAAGATGCAGCCTATCGGATTATCAGGATATGTCTAGCTTACTACCCTGCAGATAATATGTGCAAAGTATCAGTTTTTCCATGAAGCATTGGCAAATTATTTTTTTCCTTTTGTCAAAATACTTCAAGTGGTGATGGTTGCGCTGTGATTTTTCCACATTGTTTGGATGGCGTTGTTTGAGAAATTTTGCATGCACTATTGCATAGTCAGTTAGTCATGCAGTAATATATCGATTCGAGAAGTTATCTCGTCTTCTCGATGGCTTATCTGGACGCACAATCAACATTAAATTGAATGTGACTTGTGCTAGAGTTGTCCTAAATATGAATGGTTTGTGTGATGGAACTGGCGAAGGCAAGGATTTTATTTGGTGAATTTATTCCATTTGGGAGTAGTGGAGATTCAACGTGATCCCTTACAGAGCTTTATAAATTGTAAAGAAAAAAATGTTACAGATAATTTAGGCTTTATTTTGTCCCATAAACCGCATGTCTCCTATTGTTCCCGCTTCCCAATCAAACACTTGGGATTAGCTCAGATAGTGTAATTTGTTCATTAGTGAAGTAGAAGTTAGTCCATGCTATTTTGACACTCATCTAGAAACAGTCTCTCTATGTTTTAAACCTAGGGGTCAGGCTACTTACATTCGACCCCTCCATCCCAATGGACGGGAACCTTTGAGGCACTGGGGTAATGTTGTGTACTTGTGTCATTTGTTCAACTTAAGGTAAAGTGGTAAATGACCGAGACATTCAGATCAGACCAAACAAAAAAGATTCAGACCGGATTCTATATTTCACACAAGGAGATTAGACAAGACAAAAAATATTCAAGGCAGACTAGATTGGACGAAAGATTTAAACAAGCAAAGAGAACAGTTTCTTCGCAACAATCTATTTTTATTTGGTAGTTGTCTGTAGATGTTCATTATGATTATAATTTAGAGTTTTTAGTGGTTTGGGGATCATACAGCTTGATGTCAAGATCCTAAGATGTGGGTTCATTGGATAATGTAAGCTGGGTATGAAGTTATATAAGCGGTCATGACCATAGTTACAGAATTCGTTCCTAGATCCGCGATTTCCAAATTGGTACGAGTCGTACCCAATCGCAAGTCGCATGCGATCCGATCGCAACCGGTACGGCAATCCAAATCGCGATGGTACGGCGATCCAGATGCCCAGGTACGTCGCACCAAGTCGGAGAAAGTGGAGTACCAATCGCTGGCGGTCCAGCGATCCAAATCGCGACTTCCTCTCTTCCGCGACCTTCCCTCTTCCAATTCACAATTGTTCTCTCCGTAAATTGAAAAGTTCCAAATCGCGATTGCACTTCCCCAAGTTTTGCGTGAGTTGTTCCATGTCACCGTACGTTTCGAGATTGTTCTCTCCGTAAATATTTCTTTTTCCTAGGCAGTCTCCTTATATATATATATATATATATATATATATATATATATATATATATATATATATATATATATATATATTGTCTCACCCTCTCAAGTCTCACCACACAACCCAACCTAAAGTCCTCAACTTTCAATTGTTTCTCTCTTTTCTCAATGGCTTTTGGCAAAAATAATAAAGCACTTATGCTCATCTTATCTATTTTTGTTTACTTATGTTTTGACTTTTGGTACGCCGAACCGAATACATGGTACACCGTACCACTTCGTACCGTTTTGTACCCAAATGAACCTACCCCCCTTCGTACCGAATTCGTTACCTCTAGCGAATTTCGTGCCCGTACCGCGTACCCGTACCGAAACGTACCGCGATTTATGTGACTATGGTCATGACAGCTTCAACTTATCTATTAATATGCAGTTTGAATGCCTTGAAGGGTTTTTGCATAATTGTGTTTAGTTGCACCACTATATACTAGTAGTATGTATCTT